CCCCCCGCCCAAAATTGATGTGAATCGATCTTTATAATCACACATTGTAAAAGTGGAAACTTGCTTTAGTGGTTAGGATGAATATGCTTATAGGGTGTGCTGGTTGTACCCAGGTACACCCCAGTGTGTCCAAAAAAAGTGGCTTTGTTTTTAATTTAGTCACATGACTCTCTTAAAGTGTGTATTGCTATGTTATGTGATAAGTAATAAATTGTGTGATATTAATATTATAGGAATGAATAGAAAGACTGTGTTTGCTTGTAGCATGAATCCCCATTATTTTATCATTGAATTACCATTGATTCTCTCTTTTACCTCCGACTACTAATCTAGAAAATCTTTTGACTTATTCAAATTGCTGCCTTGAGAATGCCCAGCGCAGTATGTAATCTTTGTTGTGGATCTGCTACTGAAATAGCATGACAAGCCTATGGCTTTACATTTTAAATCAATCAATATGATGTCCCCTTTTAGTTAAAACAATGTGAATTAGTTCATTGTTAAAATAAGACAAACTAAGGAGAAGAATTATTGTGAATATGCTGTTAGTTTATTGTTAAAATAAGACAAACTAAGGAGAAGAATTACTGTGAATATGCTGTTAGTAATAGAAATACCTCAGACTTCTTGGTCCAGAACTTAGAAGACAATGCTGCTAGCAGGTCTGATACATGCAGCAACACGAGTAATGAATGACCAGTGGGAACAGGCTTTGACTGTTGGTTCAGGTCTCTGTGGTTCCTGTTCAGTGTTTTCAAACATTCCATCTAATGATACTCTCAAAAATAGGTTAGATTGCCAATCCTGATTATCCAGAGGTCCTTATTAGCCTATGTTAAAGCATATTTTCCAGATTAGAAAATAAGTTTTCATTTCACTTGCTATGAAAAGTCAAACTAGTTAGAATATATTCTCTCAAGGGATGCAAAAAACAAAGGTCTCCTTGATCTCACATTGATTATTAAGGGATTCAGAAACCAGCATAGGGCTGAGGTCTGTAAAAGTACCAGCTGTCAGAATCTCACATGTTGATCTGTTCTTCATGGTCAAGCTTTAATGAAGGGAAACTGTTGACACCTTGGATGAAGATAAGCCAGGTTATCTCAGTGAACAGAAGAGCAGTGCTAGAAGTGTAAAAGGGCAATTGATTGACATTATTCTTTGTTTGGCAAAAGGTAGGATACTGCTTAGGGGTCATAATGAAAAAGCTGACAGGTTTAAGAAAGATTTCTTTCTAAATCTTGTCAATTTGTTCCAGAGCCATCCTCCCAAAATGGCAGCACATGTGCAAAAATCTCCTCAAGGCTACCTTTCTGAGTAATTGCATCAAAAATAATTTAATGGTGCCCTTGAATAATGTTGTGAAACCTTACTAAATGGAAAAATAGTTGTTAACGATACTATTCACTGTGGACATCATGAAGGGATGTCCTTTGTGGTATGGTAGTTAGATGACAAAAATATGTTTTGTGTCTCTTTAGAGGATCCCCCTTAAGGCCAGAACCTTTTCTGTAAGATTATCTCCAATTTATTTTGCCTGTATCTTGTTTGTACATAGCTATTTGCATGTTGTCTTCCTCATTAAACTATGAAATCCTTGAAAGCAGGGACGGGTTTTTTTGCCTTTTTTTCTTTTGTTTTCCTCAGTGCTTTGCATACTCTCTGCTTTATTTCTATACAAAAATTGATTAAACATCACTTCTTAATAGTCAGGTCAATTCAACAAGCATTAATTAAACATGTTGAATTGATTTGACATTATTTAAATTTGTCATCAGTCATATCTGTCTTTTTTGATGACTTATCTACACCAAATTTAAATGGTCCTTGCAAACTGAAGTTAGATTTCTTTGTGGGTTATGATGAATGATTGGCTAAAGGAATCAGATCTCTCATACAAGTTCCAAATTTACAAATCTGTTTAATAATTTACATTTTTAGTTGTTACTGTGAAAGTGTCTTTTTAAAACTAGCCTACGTTACAAAAACAAACAAACAAACGAACAGAGAAGTACAATGTTCCCACAATGCTTAGGCTCACTCATGATTTTGTACATTAAACAAGGAATTAGCTTTTCAGTTAGTTACATTGATGTGCCTCAGGAATTTAAGCCCATGATATCTGGCGAGTGATTTTTCATTCTCAAAGACAGGAAGATAAAAAGCATGATTGATAGTGTATATGTATATACCTGAATCTCAGTAAGGCAAAAAAAAAATGTTATTTTTGCACAGCTAGATTCCAGTTAATTTGAATATTGAATCCCATGAAGTGGTCATATGTATTTGAATTCACACTATTCAAAGTTATAATTATGTAAATATAGTAATTGGTTCCAGTGCAATGGAAATATACAATGCAAAGGACAGTGCAAAATCCCAAGATTGGATAGGTGATGTGAGGAGGTAAATGGTCTAGGATAATACTGTGCTTATCCAAGTCTCTAAGTCCCTGAAAAGATGATGTTACCTTTGACAGACATCAAGCAATTTAGAAGACAGATGGTTTTAGCAGAGGGTGGGAGATAACAAACTCATTTTTATGTTTGAATTTAAAAGATGTTTCCAATTCGAAATGTCTAATAGACGATTGATAACGTGGGGCTGTAGCTCAGGGGAAAAACTGGGGTTGGACATATGACTCTGGAATTATCTGTATAGAGATAATAGTTGAACTCATGGGAGCCAATGAGCTTAATGAAGAGAATATAGAGGGTGAAGAAAAGACCTAAAACAGAGCCTTGAGGAAACATTCCAAGTTAAGGGGCATGGTGCAGATGATGACCTGGCAAAGGAAACAGAGAAGGAATGGTGAGGCAGGTAGAAGGAGAACCAAAAGAGAGAAATGTTACCAAGACTCAGAGAGGAGAGTTATGTCCAGGACAAGAGGGTTGTCATCAGCGTCAAGTGAAGCTGAAAGGACTGAGAAAAGACCATTAGATTTGGCCAAAAAAAAAAAAAAAAGATCATTGTTAACTTTGGAGGAAACAGTTTCCATTGTACTTGGCTACAAATGTATTAATAAAGGATGAAAGTCAGCCTAATTTGAGTACAGAAGAGACATGAACTAGATTGATAATGTCCTTTCTTGAGGTCAAAATATGCAAAAATTCAGTACTTTTGCAAAAATATGAATTGCCTACTTCTGTCATGGACTCAACAAGTTGCTGTCTAATCCTGGGGTTCTGTGAAACACAATTTGACACCCCATCCTGAGAAGGTAGGTTTGGGATAAGCCAAAGATTACACTTGACCTAGAGGTCAATCTATAGTCCCCTGGATAAGGCCTGAAGATCAGGGAGAACTTAAAAAGTAGCAGTGCAAGCCAGATTTTGGGACTGTATTATTATTAATCTGATTGTCTTCCTCACTGCTTTCTCTACTTTTCTGGATTCTAATTCTCTTGAGATGTAGGACCATGTGTTGTATTTTTAGTACTTATCCCCATCTCCCAGTAGAGTGCCTAGCACATTGTGGATACCCTATAGAATTTAATTGAATGAGTATTTTGAAGTATAGGATTTTTAAAAATGTGTCTTTTAATTGATCATACATTGTAATGACAGTGGAAGCATTAAATTTAATGATGGTATGTACAGCTACAGGGAAATAAAAGATTTTCCTTATATAAATAGTTAACAGCTGTTTTATATTGTTTTTACTTATCAATCAATGTTTTCGGACTTCTGTCTAATCCTTTTTTTTTTTTTTTTACATCAAACAAAAATAACTACCTCATCCTCACATTTCTACATCTTACATAAGATGTTTATAAAGTATAAGCAGTATCATTTTGTGATACAGGAAAATATCATTGCAGTTATGCTTTTCCATTTTCTTCATTTGGTCTTAAAGAAGGAGACTTAGAGGTCACTTAGTTCACCCCTTCATTTAATAGATCAGGAAACTGAGGCCCAAAGAGATGAAGCGATTTCTTCAAGGTCATGTAGTTAGTGAATATTAGACGCAGGATTCGAGCCTGAGTGCTTTTGACCCTGAAACCTATGTTCTTTCTACTGTACCAATCAACAAGCAACAAGCATTTATTAAGCACTTACTCAGTGCTTATTGACTATACCATTTTTTCTAAAAAATGTGCAGAACATTAATAAGGAGTACCAAATACTCAAATGTGTGGTATTTATAGACACCACTTTAAAAAAGGTTATCATACTTACTCTGTTTTCATGTTTATAGATTTAATAAGAATCTCAAGAAGTATAATCAAACCATGAGCAATTGCATCCCCAATAAAACCATAAAATCTATACTGTTTACATTTTTAAAAAAATACCTTTTTTAATAATAAGGATAACATCTGTCCTGTATCCCTTTTCAATTTCTTTTCCATCTGTATACTAGGAGGTTTGAGGTTTTTTAATAGTCTTGCCTCTTATTAAAGCACTGGGTCTCTTTTATAAATGAGATACTAACTACCAGTGTACTGAGGTTTTACTGAGTCATATTAGGTAAGCATCTATCTATTGGTCCAGAGAAAGGTGAAAAATTAAGGGAAATGGTTTTAGTTTATAACTGTTTTCCTGGTGATGGGTATCAAGTATATCAAAGTAGAAAAAGGAAACTTCTGTGAAAAGTATCAGTCAATCAGTAAGTAATTATTAAGTTCATATTATATGTCAGGTATTATCCTAGGCACTGAGAATGCAAAGAAAAAAAAAATGAAGCAGTACCTGCCCTCATGGAGCTTACATTCCATTGAGAAAAACGTTTAAAGACCAAGGGCATGATTGTGGAGATAAATGTGCAACTTAAAATTGCTTTCAAGTTTTTTTCAATGTTGAATAGTTAATGTGACCTGTTTATTTCCATATTTTTATGATTGTGTTTTTGTCCATTGTACAGCTGTAGTTGTTGGGGAGATATGTGGTGGAGGTAGAGAGTAAGGATCAGTACAGAAAAATGGGAGACAAGAAGATTATATTTGCTTGCATTCCACAAAGATAAATGCTAAGTTTACATCTTTAATGTTTCATTTCTAGAGCCTTTGAAGAGTCGCTACCATGATCATTTGGAGTCTTACTAAAAGAATGCAGCACCACCATGTTAAACTGTGCCTGGGAAATCTGGTCAGAAGTATCTTGAGAAACAGTAGGTCATTGACCTCACAGCCCATCACTTCAGAGCTTACTGCCAGTGGGACTTCAGGCAGTTCAGTGGAGGTGCTGGGCAAGTCCTATCCTCGGGATGACCATAGCAACATACCAGAAAAGATTCTTTCCAAGGTGGGAAAGAATTTGCATAATAGGAAATATCACCCCTTATGGCTGGTCTTGGAGAGAGTGAAACATCATTTTTATAAACAATATATAGGTCCCTATGGGACTCCACTGTTCTCTGTCTTTGATAGCCTCTCTCCAGTTGTCACAACATGGCAGAACTTTGACAGTCTCCTTGTGCCAGCTGATCACCCGAGCCGGAAGAAGGGAGACAACTATTACCTGAATCGTACTCACATGTTACGGTCTCACACTTCAGCCCACCAGTGGAACTTGATTCGCGCCGGCCTCAATGCTTTCCTTGTGTTTGGAGATGTCTATCGGCGGGACCAGATTGATTCCAACCATTACCCAGTCTTCCATCAGTTGGAAGCTGTCCGCCTCTTCAACAAACATCAGGTAAAGGGCATTTCTTAGTGAGAGATCAATAGAATAAACACCTAAGTGTTTCTGTAATGGAGCAAGTGAGTTGTTTTCCCCTTGACCTTAGTTTTAACTTAGTTGAGACTAATACTTAGCAAAAACTAGGTGTAAATAAGCTATGTTTTTTAATAGATTGATATGTGCAGCATTTAAAATAACTGAGGCATTTAATCGACTGAAACTTGTGAGCTTTTTATTTCCTCTGCTGTTTCTTCTTTCTTATTTCCATACTGAGCAGCTTCCCTGCTGCTGTCTTTCTCCAAGGCAGCATAGTGTAATTGTAACAGCATAGGAATCCAGAGATAGAAGACCTGGGTTAGGTTCCCTTCTCTGCTGACTCTGCAGCCTTAGAGAACTGACTCAACCTCTCTGGGCCTCCATTTCTTCATGTGTAAAATCAAATGGACTGGTTGACTTGTAATTTCCATTCCAGCTATTTATCTTATTGATTCTTTGTGATTGAATTTAAATTACTGACTTAGATTCAGAATTGATACATTGGGACCCAAACCTGTAAAACTGTCATCATAAGTTATCTAATGGCCTTAGTGGGTTAATAGAATTGAATGGAATTATTAAAACAGGCTGATTCTGTTGTTACGCCGCTCTGTTCTAATCAGTTCTTTATTTGGCTGAGGAAGAGTAAGGATTATGTTGATTAAATTGTCCCATAAAATAACCCTCTTCTCATTTCTGCCCCCTTTCAAGTTGGCGTATTGGTGGGTCTATGTGGAGTAGGTTTGATTACCACTCTCCCTGTTTTTCTATGATTCATGTCTTATTAGAGGGCTCTGCCACCACTGGAGGTATCCTGCCCCTCTTGCCTTTCCCTTTCTCTCCCTCCCTGGGCCCCCTGGTTCCTATACTGGAACCAATACAGTATAATTTGATTGTAAGAAGATCTGCCAGCGCTGTGGGTGCTCCATCTCCTTTCCTTCTCTAAGGGAGCATCTGATTGACTTAGTGGATAGAGTATTAGAATTGGAGTTAACTTATTAGCTGTGTATTCCTGGGCAAGTCACTTAACCCCTCTGTGCCTCTGTTTCCTCCTTTGTAAAATGAGAGTAGCATCTACCTTACAGAGTTGTTGTGAGAATAAAATGAGATATTTGCAAAGTATTTTGCATATCTTAAAGCGCTATATAAGCACTTGTTGCTAATCATTATCATCCATGGTTTTGGGAAACGCCAGAACCATTCAGGATGAGAGCCCTCACCACCATTAGGGCTGTCCCAGAACCCTTGCCCTCCCCTTGGCTGCTCACAGGGACTGAATGAGACAAAAGTCAGCAGCTCCATTTCTTTTGATAAGGTGGAGGCCCTTACCATATGCCCTGCTTCTCTGCCCTGTGGTCCTCCAGCACTGGCATCTTAACTCTTTCTATAATCTACATCCTCAGGCCCTTGCCATTTGCCTCACAGTCAAACCCTTAGGACTTCCAGGCCTTTCCATTGACCCTATGGTTGAAGTTTCTTTTCTGTTGTCTCCTCTAATTAGAGTGTGAGCTCCTTGAGAACAGGGACTATCTAACTTTTTTTCTTTGTATCCCCCAGCCCTTAGCACTGTGCTTGGCATGTAGTAAACACTTAGTAAATGCTTTTACTTTCATTCCTTCATTCATCTGTTCATCATTGCAATATTGGACCACTGTTAAAACTCCTTGGCTTTCCCAATCTATCCAAATAAATTATATGGAAGGAATTAATAATCCAAACCCACATAAACAAAACAAAACAAAATGAAAACAGCTACAAGTAACATTATTTGGTGGCCACTTCCATACTGGAATGCCAGTATATGTGTTTATAAAATGCATGAATGATTTTTAGGAATAGGACATGATATTTCATTATACACCTACAGCTGTCTTTGCCATTCATTAATAAAAGTCTTTCCTCACTGTTCAGTAACTAACCTAACCACTGGGACTGGGAAATCATTATCATCATACAACTCACTTGTTAAAATATAAGATCAATATAAAAAGGAATTATCTGGTACTAACTAGTCACCATTACTATTTTCCATTATCTATCAGTGACAGTAGCTTAAAAAAAAATCACACCTATCATTTCTTTCCATATTTGAGGATAAAATTCATCTGACTTTAACTCATTGAGAGCAGCTAGCCACTCTACAATTTTTTTTTTTTTATCTATCTTGGATTTTTTTTTTTGAGACTCAGTCTCCATATCTTGCCCAGGCTGGAAATGCAGTAACCACTTGTAGGCCCATCCCACTGCTGATTGACATGGAAGCCTTGACTTGCTACATTTCCAACCTGGGCTGATTCACTCCTCTTAGGCAACTTGGTGGTCCCATCCTTCTTAATGACTCACCTTATTGGGACTAGACTTTTGTGGATACCTGTTTGACTTTAGCCTGACTGTATTTCAGAATTCTTGAGCTCAAGTGCTCACTGACCTTCCTCTCAGTAGCAGGGATTACCAATGTTTGCCATCATGCCTTATCTTTTACCCTTTTTTGTTCCATCCTTTCTAGTCTGAAGGCCATTTTCCTTGGCAGAGAAAACAGATACAGAATTAAAGATGAATTTTTCTACTTATTCTGAGTAGTGATGCTTTCCTTTTGTTGATTTTCCTCTTTTTCCCAGTATGGCTAAAAATAAACCTTTCCAGAGTTAAAACACATCTGGATTATTATTATTTTTTTTCTGTTCTAGATGTCACATTTTAGGATGAACATTGACAAGTTGTAACCTTTCTGTAGCATGGTAACCAGGATTTTGAGAGTCCTAGAAACCATGGCATATGAGCATCAATAGAAGAAATGGGTCATATTTAACTTTAAGAAAAGAAGGCTCATCAGGTTTATGGTATCAATGTCTAATTACTTGGAGTTCCATCCTATGGAAGAGAGTTTAGATTTATGTTTGCTTCTGCAGGGCAGAGCTGGAAAGACTTGGTAGAAGTTCTAGAGACTCAGATTTAGGCTTAAAAGGAAAAAGAAGAGCTGAACAAAAGTTGTGCTGATTAGTTTGGAAGGTAGTGTGCTCTCCTCTTCTGGAAAGCTTCAAAGAGAGCCTGTATGCTCACTTGTTAGGTAGAAACAATTCTTGTTTGGGCATACTTTGGGCTAGCTGACCTTCTAAATTTTAGGTTCTGTAGTTTTACAATAAAATTCCATTTTTTAAAATAATAATATAGTAGCAGCAATAGCATAGTAATCTGATCTCCATGTAAGAGACACTTAGATTAATATTCCTACTTTTGGTAAAAGCTGGGCATTTTAAAATTTGAAGAGTAATAAGTAGTGATAAAAGTAAAAGCTTGTTGGAAAACTAATATGATATAGCAAACGACAGATCAAGGTCCCCAGGAAATGTGGTCTGCTGAGAAGATGCCAATTACCATTACTGGGCAAGAAGAGCTACATTTTCATCCATGTTTAATGTCAGAAATCTCTTGATATCCAGGTCATAGCATCTGTCAGCTCTACTTGCCTCATTGGGAAAACAAAAACTTCCGCCTATTTCTGAGTCCCTGTGCTATAAAAAGTAGCAGGAAAGGTCACACAATGCATTCCAGCATTCTGAGATTTTTGTCTCCACAAAGGTGGAAGTGGTTCAAGTACAAGATAGAAAAGGGCAGGGAAATGGTCCATCTCATCTAGTTTGAATCTGTCCCACACCAGGTGGCTGGGTTCATCTTCTAGCCAACCTGATTTGTCTAATCTAATGTAGAACTCAGATTCGTGTGCACTGATCCTAGAATATCACCAATGGAATTTAGGAAGCTTGACCTTAAAGATTCCCACGTTTGAACCAATTAGAATTAGACCTGAACTGACTCTTTCTTCCAAAATTCTTTTTACTGGGAGTGAAATGGGAGGAGGCTGGGCTTTTTTAGGGATGATCTAGAGTTAAACCAAATTAGATATCTCCAGTCTTGATCACCATTCCCAGGGCTGACTTAAATTAAAATCAGTTCTCTCTATTCTGGATGAATAGAGAGCACTTGCTGACAGTGCCATTCTGACAATTTTCAAACTTGCCCATCTGTATCCTCTTTAAGTTAAAAAGACAGTGCTTTGACTGCAATAAAAAATATAGGGAAATTAACTGAAGTAGTGATGAGGAAATACTTTATTTTAGTGGAACCTATTACTTGCCATTAAATTAATTCTACAGTTTAAAAGTCTTCTCTGGTTTTTATCTAAAAAGTTCACAGAGACAGCAGAGTAAGTACAGTTCATTATATTTACACAGATAGCCCAAAGGTGCTTTAGTTAAATCTAAAGACTTGTCCATGGCTATGATCTTGTATCATCTGAAGCCTTATTACCCTGATTCATTTCATCATTTAACGAGAGTTCACCTTGTCTGTCATGGGAGGAAGTGTCAGTTTCTACTGAATTTCTGGACTGTATCTGTATAATTTCCCACTGGTCACAATTTAGGATCTAGGTGGAACAGTGCATAGGAAGACCTGAGTTCAAACATGATCTCACTTAATAGCTGTGTAACCCTAGGCAAGTCATTTAACTTCTCTGTCCCCATATGCAAAATGGAACTAATAATAGCGCTTGCCTCACAGTCTTGTGAGTATCCAAGGAGATACCATGTAGAGCACTCTATAAACCTTAAAGTTCTATGTAGATGCTAACTTCTTGTTGTTATTGTTATTTTGGTAACAACTCACTTATCCAGAGATTTGGACTATAATGAATAGCCTGGAAAAAGGCAACAAAGACTTCTCCATTGCTAAATTAAATGTCCCAAAGGCAATGGACTAAATGTCATGCTTTTTACTCTTATTAGAACCCATCCTACATTCATAGTGCCTAGTTACATTTCTTTTAGATTTGATTCTAAACAATCTTGTTGGTACATTCATTTGCTTCTATATGTTACGTACCTAATTTGTTCTATTTACCAATCCCGCTGTTTTCTAACCAGTTCCAAATAGTTTTGATGATTACTATTTACTAATATAAGTAGAGCTTAGCACCATAG